AGTGCTCTAAAAAGAAGAAAGAAAAGAAAAGCCCATGCTGAATAGTTCATTGTGTATGGGATCATTAAAAAGTAGAGATAAAAAGAAGAGTCAATGAAGGGGAAAAGAAGCCATGGGAGGTGAGGCCAATTCCAATTTTATATTTTAAAATACCTTTCACTAAAGGTAAAAAGGAAAGGCCTGATGCTGCCCTATGGTACACCATACTCTCCAATATGTATTTTGTAAATGTAGGTACTTCACCAGAAATTTCCTTCCTGCATATGTGAAGAGTACAATTACAGGAGATCAACCATGAACATTCATACTGGAGCAAAACCTTCTGAAATGCATGTATATTCATGTGCATCTCGTACAAGACATCATATCCTGGATTTCATACCTGACATCTCTTATGGCTAAAATACTGTAAAATTAATTATTTAAATCTTCTGGTAGAGGCCTCAGTTTCTGACAGTGACTTCTCACTTGCGTTGTTGGTAGATGTCTATGTCCTGGTCCAGTCCTGGATGATATGCTATCATAAAGACCTTGCAGAGGTCCAAATTAAATTTTCAATCATGATTACTTAGTGTGATTATTCAGTCAATGAGAGTGTGAGTTCACTTCAGTCACTGGACAAAGAATCCATGTTCCTGTCAAAGTACACATGGCTTATCTACAGTTCAACTTTCTGACATAGACAGGGCTTGGTTGGATATGACAGGCTGTGGTCAATGGGTTTGATCATCATCCATGCAAACTTGCACATGCGTTGCTTGTTGCAGTCCTTTTGCCAGTATATCACGTTCCTACGGTTTAGATTTGCTCCAGCACACGCATCATACCACCAGCCTCCCCCAGGAATGCCATTGTGTTCCAATTTAGCACAATTCTGAAAGTAATTATCATTGTCTCTGTCCTTGGTGGTGAACTTCTGGTTGTCATGGAGATAAGCTTCTGTGTCCAGGGTCAGAGCATCAGTGGCATTGCCTTTGTATAGACCAACCCTGATTCGGTATTGAGACGCTTCGTCTTCAATAAGGAATGGTTCATACTGTCCCCATTTGATTTCAGCGTTTAGGTTTACAAGTTTAACTCCAAGTATATATTGCACAGAGCTGCTAGTTAACTGATGCATATATTCATTTCCTAACCAGTGGTTGTCAAGAACGGAGCCAAATCCGTATTTGTAATCCTGCCAGGTCCTATCAAAGTCGACAGTACTATTTGCTGTAATGTGCTGGATTACTGTCCAGCCACCATCCTGCATGTTACAAGAGACAACAATTGGGTCCTCCTTTGGTTGGATGATGTAAAGACCATCTCTGGAATTTCCTTTGGAGCGCTGAAAAATCTCAAAACAATCCCTTGGATAGTCTGAGTAGGAAAAAAAAAAAGTTTTGAAGTAAATTTCTATTCAAATAGTAAATTTTAGATATTGAACTCTGTCCTTTAGAGTGAGTGAATGATTACCTTCTGACTGGAAGCTGACTCTGACTTCATCCCAGCTGGTGGGCACCTACTTAGCTAACAGGGGAAGATTTCAGGGCAGAACAAGCAGGAAATGTTCAGAAATTCAAAAAAGGGTTTGTTACCCTGCCATACAACAGAAGTGTGATTTTGCATTTATGACAGAAATATGGCTGAAAAGCCAAAAGTTATGTTCAGACCATTCCTTTTCCACCTGCGTTCTTCCAGTTTGAGTAGTCAGCAAGTTTGCAATTCCCTGTGCCATGTGTTGGACCATTGTGTTTAATTACTAGAGCTAGCCTTATCCTCAACAAATAAATCTAATTTCTCTTTAACCAATTTATATTTCAGGCATCTGTAACATCCTTGCATTAAATTCCAATAAGTATGCCATGTATTCATTGGTAAAAGGGAGATATTAAAGCACATTTCTTGCTAATACAAAACTTACAAACATCTGAGGATTTTCTTAGGAACAGTTCTTGTCATTCAAACTCCAGGCTAAATCTTACAACTGATTTGCAGGTAGAACTACAGCGCTGAACATCAATATAAGGAAAATAGGTGAAAGTGCTTTTCCACTTTAATGCTTATCCAGTAGGCTCAGAGGGCAATAAAAATGGCATATAAGGGTTGGAATGACCCTCTCTATTGGGTTGAAATATATATACACTGTGTTTTTTAAATGTAACTTGCTTATAAGGTAACTTCTTGCTATAGTATAGTATCAAGCATCTCTGAGACTAAGGCACAATGCTCTGCTTTTTACAATTGACTGGGAGACTGCTAAGAACCAGAATATAATTTATTTAAATATACATTTATGGATGGATGGATTCATATATAGAGAATTACTTTTGTACAGAAGGATGATATTCAGTGTCTGTTCCATTACTCAGAAACATGTTTATGAATTGAAATCACTCACTTCCCCATAGAGTTGAAAGGCATATCACTATGTCATTATACTATGGAATATTTGTAATTTATATTTAATAAAAACTTGACAATTTTAATATCTCTATGAGAAAAATTCCTACAGACCACCTGTGATGTAAAATGACAGTTCTTCAGACCTATGAAATCCTGTGTTCTGTCCTGACAATGACTGATAGGAATTTAGATACTGTATTTAGAGCTTAATTTTTCCTTCCGGGAAACTGGGATAATTCAGGACAATTATGGCAAGATGTCCTAATTTATTTTTTTTTCCCCCTCAAAAATTTGCCAAAATATGATTAAGGAAAAATATTTCCAAATACAAAAATTTAGAATAAAAGCTCAGAAAAAAACTCTTCTCTGCCCAAATCACTGACCAGAGAGCCCCTGCTGATCCTTCTGCTGAACACATTGTTTTTCTTTACCTGAAGAGAAGAACAGAGTCTGAAAAGAGTCAATCTCATTGTATAGTCTTGTGACCAACAGATCAAAAGTACACCGAACAGTTTGGTTACTGTGGGGAAAAAAAAAAAAAAAAAAAAGCCCCCAGCTTTCTAGAAAGAGAAAGGGACCATGACTCACTATTTTATCTACTACTACTGGTCCTGTGAGGAATTATATCATGCAGTCTTCTTCACAGAATTATTAAATTTCTTCTCTTCCAACTGGAAAGCACTGTAGACTTCAATAACTGTTGCTACTCTGTTAGAAATACTCATCTGGTTCCCAATCTAATTTTATTAATGTCCACTGTCCATCTCTTTTCTTTCTCATGTCATGTTGTCCTTTAGTTAAATAGTGCTTAGTCCTGAGTAATAAGCACCGATGTACCATGAGGACAACTATATTTTTAATCAGCCTTTGTTTTGTTAGGGTAAATTCTGTTAGGATAAATAAGTTCTTTTATTATTTAGTGTAAGATAAATCTTCTGTTTCTTTATTGTCTTAGTAGCTTTTCTGCACCACTTCACTGCAAATTAATCTCCTAGAACGTGGGTAAAATTTGCACACAGTATTGCAGACGGCCTTATATAGTGCCACCAATTCTTCCCAAGTCTTATTAGAACCATCTCTGTTAATGTATTCCAGGATTGCATTTGTATTGCTTAGTGTCCTTTAATCTAGAGTCTGGTCTTTGTATCTTTGTAACTGGGAAGGTCCTCACCTTGCAGTAAAACCTAGAATTTTGTACTTTATTTTTCATCTCAATGGTATTACTTAAGAACATCTGGTTATTTTTTTTTTTTTCTGTGCAATATTCTGATTTTTTGTATTGGCATTTCTCTACTTCATGTTATAATTAAATATTATCAGCATATTCTTATTTTTGCGTCAGTATACTTAATAAGATTTCTGAAAAGATCACTTATAAGCAAGCACTTTCAGTTTCTCCTTGAGTTTATGGTTTACTTTTCTACCCAAGTCATTTTCTTTTCCACCTCTACTGAAATTATAATGTAACCCTACCTTCTCTGATTTAATATTGTATGAAGTATTGTATCATAGGCTTTGTAGAAGTCCAGATGGACTAAGCCTGTTAAATAGTATTACTCATAGTAACAGTATTGTGTTAAATATAGTCTTTCATATTTGATATTCAGAAATTTATTGGTACTGGTAAGCCACTCAGGACAGATTTTCAGGAGTATATAGGCTTTCCAGGGTCTTATTTTCATGCATTTCATTGCCTAATAGAATCTGCAGTCATGAATAGAATACTTTAAATCTCAATACTATCTGCATGACATTATTAAATACCCTGAAAGAGCAGAACTGTGTACATGACTTTGTACCCCAGTTGTTAGAACATTTGCATGGTAGACATAGCCTGACTCCAGACCTGACCCCATGATTTTATAGAATGATTATTTAAGTGATTCACATAGTGATGTCCAAGCCAGCGATATATACAGTGACACTTGTATTTGCCTTTCTCAGTGAATATTATTCATGCAAAATAGAACTTCTATAGATGGATAATGAGAGAATCATTTAGGCTGATTGTTAGAGGATTCACTTGGAAAGTGAATTTTATAAACCCTCAAGTGCCATCAGTCGAAGGAAGAAAATGAATCAAACCCACTACTCTTTTTGTGTACATTTTATGTGGGATCTACTCTAGTAAATGTATTAGAAAACGTACCAAGCTGGACCGTACAAGCTAGATAGGCAGAGGGATGCCTCAGTTATAAGTACCAATGGGATTTAAGTACTGAGGTGTCAGATGTAATCTAGATATGATTGTCCTAAGAGTAAGTCTTCAAATGCCACAAAATATACTTTTACAAAAAATCTTAATTTTCTTGAATTAGATGGCAGCTGAGCAAGGATTTTAAAGATTCTGGACTTCAGGGCAGGACATGTTCATATTGCAAAGTATTTTTGCAGGGCTAACTTTCAAATCTGTTGGCTGAAAATGTTACAGCAAAGCAATGAAGTAAAACACAGCATGCATCCAAATTACTCACTCTCTTCATGACTACCTTTTTCATTGGTGTTACCCAGTCTCTCATAGCCTCTTTGGGGGAGAAGGTGGGCATTAGCCAAGACCACTGCCTCTTTGGTGCTCACTGACACAGTGCAATGAGAGAGCAGGAACAGAATAAATCCCGCTGAGCTTGTCAACAGCATCTTCCTTCCGAGTCAGTCCTCCTGCAGCAATACAGAACTGTAACACAGACTGGAATTGAAAATGGAAAGATTTATGACTTTTAGTATGGAAGTCCTGAAGGAGAAAGGTATTGAAATACCTAGCTTCAGTATAGTGAGCCTCTGCCAAAATTTGCTTCTCCCATCTTTCAAGGACCTCTCCTTTTCCTGATGTCTCACACACTATTTCTGACTGGTCATTCCTCTGACATGAAGCACTGGGCTGCGACACTTAGAACATCTCTCACCTCTGTCACCTTGTACCATGCGGGGCAATGAAACATAATGTAATCTTGTGTGTGACAAAAAGCCATAGAAAGTAATGTAATGACAAAAGAAAAAGCACATCTTATATCAGAATTGAATTTTGCTTATTCCTCGAGTCCAAACTGCAGTGAAATAGAGGCACCAATGGTCGAACTGGCAGAAACAGCAACACTGGCTCTGCTGACTGTCTGTAATTCAAACAGTACTCAAAGACATGGCTTTCTGAGTGCTGGGAATATTTCCATGCACTGGAGAACTCGCTTCAACACGTGGGCTACACTTTTTATGAATTTCCATTTACAGCTTTAAATAATAGGCCACGGGTCTAAATCAGATCAAAAAAAAGAGAAAAGCTCAATAAACAAAGTAAAAAGAACTTTTCTGCAGCTTCTTCAAAACCCACAAGCATTCAATATATTGAATCAAAACAGTTTTGAGCCTCATTTTGTCCTCCTTTTGGGGTTACGCATCTAGTAACCCTCTCCATCCAGCATAGCAAGAATGCTCAGGCTATTACTGGACTAAATCCTGTGGTCCTCGCTTCGGCAAATCCCAGCTTGACTGAAAAGGAATTTCTGTATCAATGACAGCTTAGACTGAATCAGGGTAACACAGGTTTCCCATACTTAGACTGTAGCCAAACTCTTTAATATTTTTTTTTAAGGACTGAGCTCCCCACAGTGGCTTTGACGAAAGCAGAAAACAGATCTAGCAAGCAGCAATTCAGTCAGAGCTTATTTCCTGCCAGCATCAGCACAGAGCTTACAGAGGCCAGTACTCTTCTCCACAGTGGTTTATGTTGCAACAGAGCCACATTCCTTATAAATCTAATGACTTAGCAGCAGATTCAGCAAACAGTTTTCCACAGAGAAAAAATATTCAGCACATTTTTTTAAAAATGCCCAAGATGAATCGTTGTAATAAAGTTCAGGTTTAAGAGTTAATTTTTATACCTACCATACAGAAAAACAGCAAACCAGAATTTTCTACTCTACCTAAAAATATTCAATAATAATTCTGATTTACTATTAATATAAAATTTGCTATTTTATGCAAAGTTTCTCATTTGATATTGGGATTGTAATAAACTGGAAAATTACCTTCCATGAAATTCAGCACAGGGTTTCCCTTAAAGCATTTAAGTTCTGCTCTGTGGGCATTTCCCACTGTCCTTTCCCTGGAAGGGGAATCCTTTTCCCTGAAAGCTTCTATTATTTTTGCTGTTATTGATTATTATATTGTAAATTACTTTAAATCAAAACCTAACCCACAACATCACTAAACTTCAAGAAATCTGTATTTGGTTCTGGAGTTATTTTTTTAGCTGTTTTGTTTTTCTTTTAGCATTTTCTAGTGAGTCAGTCTTTTTTCTTCCCTCATATTCACACATTGAAATGATTTACAAATCCATTTAATTCCAGAATAGAACTTAGTATTATAAATTATTAAGAAAGCAACTGAGGAAAACAGCACCAGGCAGGCACCTTACCTCTTTCAAGTGAAGCTTGGCAAAGAAAAACACACACAAATGAATAAGCTCATTCTCTACAGTTGTACTTTGCCTGCTACTTAAGTCCAGGTGAATAAATCAGCTCCAACACGCTATCTCAAATGCAGCAAAATTGCATCTTCATTATTTCACACTGTGTGCTTACTCTGGTGGACTTTGCTCTCACATATTACACTTGCAAGTAAGCATGTATGAATTATAAAGTACAAAGTTCTTCCATAAGGATTAAAACAACATAGTAACTAAATTAAATTTTCTTGATTAATAAACAGACACACTGATGGAGAACCATGAAGAGGTTTTAGTTCAGTAAATTACTTATGTTGCTTAAATACACACAGGCAGATGCTCAAATTTACTATCTCATTTTGCACAGGTGAATTAACTAGATGCTATACTACTAGTCACATTTAAAATTGTATAAAGACAACTTGATTTTTAGTATTAGGAACAAACCAACCATAAACCTTGTTGTTACTTCATCTTTTAATGTGAATGAATCAGAAACAGTGTCTCAGAGCTATAAAAATGGAAAAAAACAAAAGCAGAATAGGCTGGTCAACAAGTTTCTGGTTTAGTTTATTTGGATTAACAAGAGTTAATTAACATTGATTAGGGTCAAAACTGTAATGAATTGGATGAATTAATTGTTACTTTATATCTGAAAGTTGTACTGTCTATCTGCATGGCCTCTAGGTGATGTCTAATCTAGCATTTACCCTTTTCAAGATGAGCCAACACTTAAGTTTTTGTGCTCCTTGATCCAGCCTGCAACCCACTGATCAGATTCCATCCCTGAAACAAGCTACAATTAAAATTGATGGAGCATTTAAGTCCTCTGCAAGCTCTACCTGAGGATTTGTACTATGCATAATTTCTGTTCTTCAATAATTCATCCTCAGTGAAAGCACAATATGTGAGTATTTGTATTTCATGCACAATTAAATACACATAACAAATGTTTTAGGGAAGATTTGCTTGTAACATTTAAAAGTCAGTGATATTTCTCTTCATTTTTAAAGTACAAGCAATGTTTTATTATATATGAGGGTGGCCACAGCGAGTCCAAACAGTATCTTTTCCCTCACACTGGTCAGTAGCAGAGCTACAGGGAAAAGTTTAAGAACACATTCTCTCTGCTTTTAGCATTATGCAGCTCAGGGAATTTCAGATATGTGTGTGTTTGACGTACCTAATTTCCGGTTAGTACCATGCTTTAATAAACCTTGGCTAAGGCATGAAAATACTGTATGTAGCTTATGAACTAGTAAAAGTGCTTTGAACAGATACAGATCTTGCTGAAATAGTGTACTAAGAAAGGGCAAGAGAAGATACCTTTCCACTTTGTCCATACTGATACACTCTAGAAAACACCATTAACTTTAGTGGTATTTATTGATAGGTCTCATGTCGTCCTGTAATAAATTGGGATGCATCTTTGTTTTGTACCGTTGATTCCTACATTTTCTATCACTGTTTATCTCCTCCCCCATCTTTCCATTTTTCTTTACTTTTTTGCTGTTTGCTTCTCTGTTGATTTCCAAACTTGCATCTGAGCTGGCAGAGCAGAAGTGAAGTGGGAAGCATTTAATTAGAAGAAAGAAGAAAGGGCAACAGCATTCATTCACTCGTGCTCAGAAAGGCATCTATTTCTGTAGATGAAAACTTTGAAAAACAACAAAAATAATTACATCTCTCTCTCTCCGCTCTTGATCAAGTATTTTGAGAATAATTTTTCAGCCCTGAAAATTATATAATGATCTTAAGGTAGGACTACATTACATTGGTATGATTTGGTCATATACAGATTTCAAAATAATGCATTACTATAATGACTTATTGTTACCCACATTAATTAAGATACTTAGTTTCTCAGCCCAGTGACTGCATATTCCTTCCCCACAATATGTTGAAGTTTTAATTATCCCTCTGATTCTGCTCAGATTTAACAGGCAAGCATTCAGTTGAATTTTTCCAATGCAGCCTCACCTATGTGGAAAGTCTCTTTACAAGTTCTCTATATTTTAACAACTCATGGCACACCCTTGCAAAGGAAGAATTTGACTGAGATTGATCAATTTACTACTTCATCAAGCTCTGAAGTTAGTTGCAAAGACAATCCAGCTACTGTATTGCAACTAACCAGATTCTCTGTGTAATGGATATGAAAAATATCCATATCTAACCCATATAATGAAGCCATCAGTTCTAGCAAGGGCAAAGCAGTGTTAATTTAACCTTAGTAGTCTGAATAATGATGTCAGTAAGTTCCAGTAAATATTACAGAATCATAGAATAGTTTAAGTTGGAAAAGACCCTTAACATCGAGTCCAACCGTAAACCTAACATTGCCAAGTCCACCGCTAAACCATGTCCCTAAGCACCACATCTACACCTCTTTTAAATACCTCACAGGGATGGTGACTCCACCACTTCCCTAGGCAGCCTGTTCCAGGGCTTGACAACTCTTTCAGCGATGAAATTTTTCCTAATAGCCAATCTAAACCTCCTCTGCCACAACTTGAGGCCGTTTGTTCTCATCCTATCACTTGTTACTTGGGAGGAGACTGACACCCACCATGCTACAACCTCCTTTCAGGTAGTTGTAGAGAGCGATAAGGTCTCCCTGAGCCTCCTTTTCTCCAGGCTGAACAACTCCAGTTCCCTCAGCCCCTCCTCATAAGACTTGTGCTCTCGACCCTTCACCAACTTGGTTGCCCTTCTCTGGACATGCTCCAGCACCTCAATGTCTTTCTTGTAGCGAGGGGCCCAAAACTGAACACAGTACTCGAGGTGCGGCCTCACCAGTGCCAAGTACAGGGGAACAATCACCTCTCTGCTCCTGCTGGCCACACTATTTCTGATACAGGCCAGGATGCCGTTGGCCTTCTTGGCCACCTGGGCACACTGCTGGCTCATATTCAGCTGGCTGTCAACCAGCACCCCCAGGTCGTCCTCTGCCAGGCAGCTTTCCAGTCACTGTTTCCCAAGATTGTAGCATTGCATGGGATTGTTGTGACCCAAGTGCAGGACCCAGCACTTCACCTTGTTGAACATCATACAATTGGCCTTGGCCCATTGA